CTCGTAGCGCGGGCCCAGCCCCGCTCCCCAGCCGGGTCGCGAACTCACGCGCCCCGGCCCGGCCTAACTTTGCAGCTGCCGGAGCCTCGCCCGTGGGTGCGCGCAGGGGAGACGCGTCCCGGATGCCCGTTTCTATGCCCTTGCCTCTCCCTTCGCCTTCCCTTGGAAGGGGGCTTAGCCGTCCCGAGGGGTGAGGGGTGTCGGGTGCAGCTGACTTTATCCCCCTGACCCTCTTTGTCTCCTCCCGCGCGTGGCTTTCAGGCCGAGGAGGGGACAGCGCCGTTCGCCAGCTTCAGGCTTCCCCGGGGCTCAGTGCGGGGGCCCCCCGGAACGGAGTGGGGACCGGCCCGCCCTCCCCCATCGCCCTGCCGCCTCTCCGGGCCAGCAACGCTGCCGCAGCCCACACGGTGAGACCTAAGTCCTCCAGTGGCCGGGAGTAGGAGTGGGGTAGGGTGGGGACGGGAGGGCCCCAGGCAGAAACCCACGAACTTGGGGGGGCTTTTGCCGCCCAGGGAAGAGCTCTGGCGAAGTGAGAGCAGCTCCACGCCCCGGCCAGTGGCCTCTCCTCGACGCCGCCCTTGTAACTTGGGCGAGTCCAAAGCTGCAGCCACAAAGGAAGATTCGTGGGGTGGGTCCCTCACTTCCCCTCTGGAACCCTCCCACCCCTGTGCTCTTCTTCCTCAGAACTTCCTCGCCGCTTCCCTCTTCCCTCTTTCATCCTTGCTTTCCAAAGCTCCCTTCCCTGACCCTGTAAACATCCCTCCCCCATTCTGTGGGTAGTAGGTATTTATAGAAACAGATATGTGTTAGGGGACAGCTTGCCTGTCCTGCCCGGAAAATCGATCCCCCAAAGAGCCTCTGAGGCCTGTCTCCAGCCAGTAAAGAGCTCTGCCAGTTGTCCCCTGCGTGTGTAAGCATGTTTTATGAGTGCTACAGGTTTGAGCACAGCAGAAATTGTAATTAACGTTAACAAAAATAAGAGCCACAGCGGCAGTCAAAACAAAACAGCACCCTGTAGGATTCTGCACTTGGACTGTATGCAAAAGAAAAGGGCCAGGGAAGGGCACTTGCCAGGTGCTCTGGTCCCTCTGAGGACTCAGGAAGGAGAGGGCCCAAGCTTGCATGTTGGCTGCAGCGGTTGGCAAGCAGGATGGGACCCCAGCATGTATCTTTTCTCAGCTCCCAGGGATCTCCCTTGAATGGTGATTGCCAGCCTGCAGGAGGTGTGTACCTGGAGGGGTGGTGATGGTTTTAGGTTGGGGCTGTGTGAGGATCGCATGCTAGGAATATGGTTTTGTTTCCCAAGTGTAACTTGAGCTCTAGTAGAAAAGACCACTTCTAGTTTACAGGGAAGCAGCTCTGAGGGTCATGTGTTCCGGAGAAAACTTGTTTACCAGAGAAGTCGCCGAGAGGATGGCGAGACTGCAGTTGTGCCTGCTAGTCCTGGAGACCTATGTACACGTTTTGTGTGGAAAAGTGTTTTGTTATTCATTCTCTCTCCCTTCACCCCCTTTTTCTCTTTCTCTTTTTCCTTACATGTTTAGTCCCAGAAGCTAGGAATTCACTACACAGAGGTTAACTAGTCTGTGTTGCACTGTTGGTGGTTAAAGAGAGTCTCTCAGTAGGGTATGTGGGATCATTCTATGTATTGCTGTTAAGTGCTCTTGTCCCGGTGACATTTTCATTAAGGACTGCCATTGATTTTAGGGGTCTAGATGTTTTTGTTTGATTTGGAATCGTTTGACAATTTGGAAGCGATAACATCCTTCCCCCACCTATGTGCTGATGTAATCACATGACATGGATATGAACTGAGACAGGCATATTTGGTGTGCATCTGGGTGCCAGTTTTGTAAGGATGGGCTTTGCTTGATCAGAGCCTCTTTGCAATTGAAATATGCAATGAAATGAGAGAAGGCAACAGGACTCCACTGAAAGAGCAGCGTGTGGTGTGCCAGATAACAAAAGATGTGAACGTGCCTCTCAGGCAGTATTTCCCCGTGGTATATGCTTGGCTTACTCGTTTTTTCCTTAAGTTTTAAACTCCACTGTGCTGTTCCTAACGAGGTGCTTAGTTTTAAAAGTGTCAGTGTCTCGATGGTGGTTTAGTTTTGGTTTTATTTGTGTGACATCACGAATTTCATAAAACAGGAAAGTGTGAAAGTATCGCAGTTTAGCTTTCAGCCCTCATGTGACAGATGAGGAAACAGTTGGATAAGTTAACTGGTTTGGTCAAGATTCCCTAGCCAGTTCATACCAAGGCAGGCGTGAAAGCCTCCCGAGTCGAGTCTAGCTTTAATAGACTACTCCACACCACCAGTTCTAGGAAATCGTTAAGAACCTTTCTAAGTTTGTGTTTTTATTTATCTGAGAGGTTTTACTCAGTTTTTAGTTCCAGAGCAGTTACACCTGGGAAGAACTGTTTTAGAATGAGTGTGACAAAAAGAGCAGGAAATTAAAGGAGAGGAAAATGACCTTGTCATAGGTGCTTTCCCATTTTCCCCTATAAATGGTGCCATAGGCAGGTAAATATATGATTATAAAGATGATGAACTTTGAAATCTACCTAGTCTGTCACCCCATTGTTTTCTATTTTCATGCATATCTTATTTTCTACTTCAATCCTTCAGTGTCTTTTTGTTCTAAGAGGGTACCTAATAGCTATCCTGAGTCCTGTTAGTATTTCTTTTAATGTTGTATGGGACATACTGATATATTTTTTAAAGATCTGAATATAAATATGTATCACTCATAACTTTTCATGTTTAAAGCACTGCTTAGCTAACAGTTATCAATTTTATCTTTATAAAATAATCCATATGAAAGAGGAATTAAAATTTGTGATTAAGGGCCTAGTGGCTAACTGTGTACTTTGAATCTCAAATTCCATGGCTTGGGAAGCATACTGATCATGCATGCATGTATGCTCAAAATCCCAGCACCAGGGAGAAATGGAGGAGAAGGGATTGTGGTGTGACAGTTCCTCATGGAATTTGGGCTTTCTCCTCTTTGTCTCTCTCTCTCTGTCTCTGTCTCTGGTGAATACATATGCCCTCTAGCACAGTGAAAAAAATGCACTTAAAAAATAGTAATATTTTGAAGAACATTTGAATCAGGGCCATGCAGACTGTCAATATGTTTGAGGAAGAGCTAAAATTCCGTTCTTTTGGATTCAATTCTATTCCCATAGCAGTACACAATGTTTCTAAGATGATTCTGGAGAAGTGTTAAAATGCCCAGAAATGTGAGTATGGCGAAATACCTTCTGTTTGTCCTCTTTTTACTGGGAGAAATTAAAACTCCCAAACTGGTGTTAGACTCTTGGTCTTACATAATTTTTTAATACTAAAATATCTCATGGTCAGAGAAGATTTTTGCAGGTCTCTACCGCCACCCATAAATTCTAGGTATTTTAACAAGTGCATTCCTTTAGTGTATACTTTTTAATGTGACACTATGATCGACATTGGTAAATGGGAATGAGCCACAATCTCAGAATTTAAGAGGCTGAGTGGGAGTTTTTAGTATTCTCAGGTTTGTGATGTAGTCCTGGAATATACATTCTGGAAAAGTTCTGCCTTTTCTCATCACCACCTCCCCCTCTACAGATCAGTTCATTGTCATCCTTGAGTTTGGTTGTGATTTTAGAGTTCAGTAGTGTTCAAGACACAAAGTCTTCTACTAGAGCCTACCAAATGAATCTCTTTAACATCTAGAAAGTTTTTAAGACTCTATGTATTGCTTTAAGGTGTTTGGTTAATGTGACTGCTACTTTTTAATCAGCCACCCCTTACTTTAAGTCTCTGCTGATGCATAGCAAGGTCTTGTGACTCAGGTCACCAGGGATGGTCCCAATTCCCTGTGCATTGATGTCGTATTTTCTTATGAAGGTACAAAATGTCGTTTTCAAGGAAACTCCAAGAGATGCAACTGTTAACAGGGACTTAGTGACATGGATTCTTTTATTTAATAGATATTTGTTGAGTGCTTACTCTGTGTGTAGGTTTTTGTTGAAAGGGATTTACAAAGATAAGAGGTGATCCTGCCCTGGAATTGGTAAAACAATTACAGCAACATGATATAAGTGTTGTAATTTAGCAGTGCTCTCTAAGTACAGAAGGTGGTGTTTAGTAAATCAGAGAAGGTTTCACAGAGGAGGTGAAAGTGGATCCAGGCACTGAAGGGCGAGTAGGAGTTTGTCCTTTAGACAGGAAAGAAGATGATTTCAAGCAGCATCGGAAAAGGACAGTAATAGTTGCTTTTATTTGTTAAGTACTATACTAATCACTTTACACTTAGTGCCTTGTTTATGCCTAATAGTCCTTAGGAGGGAGCTTTGTTACATTCTTTTTGGAAAAAAAGGATACTGAAATTCACAGAGATGAAGTAAATTGCAGAGGGTCACAGAGTTAGTAAATGGTAGAGCTGGAATTCATTTCATGTGTGTCTAAGTGACAATCCCTGGACTCCTAACTCTTAAGAAGTGTGACCTCACCAAAAGCTTGAGGAACAGAAAAGAGCAAGATGTTTCCTTGGGTCTGTGAGGGCAGGGGGATGCTGGAGAATCCAGCTTTGCTCTTTTTGGACAGAAGAGGAATGGTGTAGATGAGACTGGTTGGACTTGGATCACTGAGGCTGTACATTTTATTATGGGACCTTATGTTTTCACTGAGTTCTTGTATTAGCTGTGGAAATGGGATGCTGTGGGCTTGAGCAAGCAAGAGCAAGCTCACAGGACATTTACAAATAGTTTAACTCTTGGAGCACTGTGGAGGAGAGGTTTGAGGAATTCTAGACTTAAAACAAGGGGGCTGGTTGTAAGTCCACTTCACTTATCCCAGAAGAATACAACAGGAATGTGAGGGGAAGTGGTGTTAATAGAAAGGGCTGGATAGAAATGACAAGAAGATTTCTTGATGATTTGGTAAAGTGAGGGACACATTGAGAAGGTTTTCCAGTTATGCTGTTCTAAGGATTCCCTAATGTGTAGCTTGAATGGCAATGTGGTGGTGAAGCCTTTTGTTTATTAAAAGAACAGAGGTATATGGGAGATGATGCAGTTTTAATAGGAAAGTCACTTCAGTTGAGTTGCCTGTGAGAGAATTGGCTGGTCAGTAGTTGGACGCATGGCCCTTGGGCTCAGGAGACATAGATTTGGCAAGTCAGAACTAAAGGAGTAGATTTGACAGAAGTCAGCTCATGGGGCTATTGCTGAAGTCTGGCTCTGGTCAGGATGAACCGAGGACAGTTATGGGAGTGAGGAACAAGAGAATTGAAGCCTGAACCCTGGGACATCTTTGTACCCACCAAGAGGTAGGTGAACTAAAAGTTGATACTGCAAAAGAAGCCAAAAGAAGGCTGTTGGAGAGACAGGAAAAAATTCAGTGTATTGGTAAACTCTTTAGTTTTAGTTGCTAAGATGTCATTTTTTGGTTGGTTGGTTGTTTTTTTTTTTTGTTTTTTTTTTTTTTTTTTAATTTGTCAAAGGGCATGTGGATTCACCAAAGAGACAGAGAGGGAGGGAAAAAGCACCCCTCCCCCTCCGCCCCCTGTCTCCCATGGGGAATAATCATGTCACAACCCCTTCTCTGTTTCTCCCACCTGTTGGAGATCGAGTCTGGCTTTATACACAGGCCTAGCATGTTTTCCAGACCACCAGATCCCAGACTTGAAACATGCTTGTGGGATCCAGCTCCCTTAACCACCAGGTCACGGGTGGGACCAGTGATGTTTTAAATGATGTAAAACAAAGATTGTTGAAGAAAATTGAAGTGAATTTCTCATGCTCAATTGAAGTGAATGTTCAAAAAGTTTTACTTGCTATATTTTTAGGAATGCTTTTCAGTAGTATTTAAAGCCCAAAAGGTAAAATTTAGAAGGGGGTAATAGAAAAATTACTGATGGCAGAGTTGATTGTAAGCTTCCCAGACTCTGGTACTTCTGCAGCTAGACGTCCGTTAATATGATGTAGATTGTGAATAGCAAATTGATCTTTAAGATTTCATATAAACATCACCTAGCAGTCTGCTTTAAGAGTTGTGATTGGCAAGAATTCATCACTGGGAGGGATTCCTGGCCACTAGTTCTGTCCCACCCCTCTCCTCTTAGCAATGATAAAGCTTGAAGCAATTATGTAAGTAGATTCTTTGTAGAAGGGGGGGCTTGGTTTGCTCTATCAGTTTGGTTTAGACAGTGTTCAAAGGTGGCATTGGTGGCTGAAATAGAAATTGCTACTTTGTATTCCTTGTTGGAAAGCTGAGAATTAGCAGCCTGCAGAGATGAGTGCCTTAACAGAACAGAGCCGTTAACCACAAGGAGGCCCCAAAACTGTGCTGGTTGCTTGGTTGGTTTGATTGAATGGCCTTAAAGGGTCATCAGAGTCAGCAAGGCCCAGAACCTTCAAAATAAGTTGGGGGTTTACAAGGTACTAGAGTATATTTCTAAGTAGTAGTCTTTACAGCCTAAAAGCACAGTGGTCTTTGTCACTGATCTTGTATGTTCTTAGGCTTAATCAGAAAGGAGAAATTCTGGTGATAAAGCATTTTCAAAATAGAGCTTGTTATTGGGGAAAATAATGAACAAGATACTTGGTCCCTGGCTTCATGTAAATAAATAAACGAATGATGGATGTGAGAGGTACTAATGGTGAGAGTGGGAGTAGGGGCGCTGGTGTAGCGTCTTTGGTGTTCATGCTTTCTCTGTCTCCTGGCTGGTTCATTTTTTGTTTAGTATGCATTGAGCAGGACACTTATGATGTACCAGGTCCTGTACTAGATGTTAGGTATAGAATAATGAACAAAATACAGGATCTCTGCCTCTGCAGGGAACTTGCTCTAAGGACTGCAAATATGTGTGCAGCACTTCCCTAAAAAAAACCCTGTATTTAGGATCTCCTGTCTCATAGCCCTACCCAGCCCCCTCTTCTCACATTCCTTTATTTTGCTAAAGTTTGTCAGCATCCTGTCAGCATCATATCTACACTCCCTGCCAGTGTATTCATTAGGTCCTGGGTGCACAACTCTTTTTCTGTTTAGTAATCCTGATTGTGGCTGTGAATTAAAACCCAATCAAATTTTGCAAGGATGGGGCTGGGGACTGACTTCTAAAGTATCCTATTTGAACAGAGACCTATTCCATTCTGTTTGTGTTTCCTGTCTGAATTCCAGATTGGTGGCAGTAAGCACACAATGAATGATCACTTGCATGTCGGCAGCCACAGCCACGGACAGATCCAGGTTCAACAGCTGTTTGAGGATAACAGTAACAAGCGGACAGTGCTCACGACACAACCAAATGGGCTTACAACAGTGGGCAAAGCAGGCTTGCCGGTGGTGCCAGAACGGCAGCTGGAGAGCATCCACCGACGGCAGGGGAGCTCCACCTCTCTGAAGTCCATGGAAGGCATGGGGAAGGTGAAAACCTCACCCATGACACCTGAACAAGCAATGAAGCAATACATGCAAAAACTAACGGCCTTTGAACACCACGAGATTTTCAGCTACCCTGAAATATATTTCTTGGGTCCAAATGCAAAAAAGCGTCAGGGCATGACAGGAGGGCCTAATAATGGTGGCTATGACGATGACCAAGGATCATACGTGCAGGTGCCCCACGATCATGTGGCTTACAGGTACGAGGTCCTCAAAGTCATCGGGAAAGGGAGCTTCGGGCAGGTGGTCAAGGCCTATGATCACAAAGTCCACCAGCACGTGGCCCTGAAGATGGTGCGGAACGAAAAGCGCTTCCACCGGCAGGCAGCGGAGGAGATCCGAATCCTGGAACACCTGCGGAAGCAGGACAAGGACAACACCATGAACGTCATCCACATGCTGGAGAATTTTACCTTCCGCAACCACATCTGCATGACGTTTGAGCTGCTGAGTATGAACCTCTATGAGCTCATCAAGAAGAATAAATTCCAGGGCTTTAGCCTGCCTTTGGTCCGTAAGTTTGCCCACTCAATTCTGCAGTGCTTGGATGCTTTGCACAAAAACAGAATAATTCACTGTGACCTTAAGCCCGAGAACATTTTGTTGAAGCAGCAGGGTAGAAGTGGTATTAAAGTGATTGATTTTGGCTCCAGTTGTTATGAGCATCAACGTGTCTACACGTACATCCAGTCACGGTTTTACCGGGCTCCGGAAGTGATCCTGGGGGCCAGGTATGGCATGCCTATTGATATGTGGAGCCTGGGCTGCATTTTGGCAGAGCTCCTGACAGGTTACCCCCTTTTGCCTGGGGAAGACGAGGGGGACCAGCTGGCCTGTATGATTGAACTGTTGGGTATGCCCTCCCAGAAACTGCTGGATGCATCCAAACGAGCCAAAAATTTTGTGAGCTCCAAGGGGTATCCCCGTTACTGCACTGTCACCACTCTCTCAGACGGCTCCGTGGTCCTCAACGGAGGCCGTTCCCGGAGAGGGAAACTGAGGGGCCCACCAGAGAGCAGAGAGTGGGGAAATGCACTGAAGGGGTGTGACGACCCCCTATTCCTTGACTTCTTAAAGCAGTGTTTAGAATGGGATCCTGCAGTTCGTATGACCCCCGGCCAGGCTTTACGACATCCCTGGCTGAGACGGCGGCTGCCCAAGCCTCCGACTGGGGAGAAGACGGCAGTGAAGAGGATAACGGAGAGCGCTGGTGCTATCACATCGATTTCCAAGTTACCTCCACCTTCCAGCTCAGCTTCCAAACTGAGGACTAATTTGGCACAAATGACGGATGCCAATGGGAATATTCAGCAGAGGACAGTGTTGCCAAAACTCGTTAGCTGAGCTCGAGTCCCCTGATGCTGGTAATCTGAAAGATACGTTATTGCTGAGCCTTATTGGGTTGAAAAGGAGTAGCTCAGACCTGGTTTTTTTGTTTTGTTTTGTTTTGTTTTTCTTTTGCTCAATAACTCTACTCATTTGTATCTTTTCAGCACTTAATTTTAATGTAAGAAAGCTGTTCATTTTGTTTTTATAAAATATGTGGGGACAATGCTTTAAGTTTTTATACTTTCTGAAACTGTTTTTGTGTTCTCCAAGTACGATGAGCCTTACTGTATTTAGTGTGGCAGAAAAATAACATCAGTGGCAGGCCATTGATAGCTTTGTGACTGCCACGCATTTACAGATTGGTGTCGAAGACATTCACTATGTTTTTACGGTTCATGTTCTCTTCTCCCAGGGTGACAGCCCCTGAAGGGCCTCCTTCTCTCTAGACCCCAGGTTCATGCACAGGTTAAGCATGGTCTCCTTCCATTGTCCTTAAACTAATCTGGGTGGCAGTGGGAGTGAGAGGCGAATGATCAGGATGAAAAGGATGAGAGCGCTGGTGCTATCACATCGATTTCCAAGTTACCTCCACCTTCCAGCTCAGCTTCCAAACTGAGGACTAATTTGGCACAAATGACGGATGCCAATGGGAATATTCAGCAGAGGACAGTGTTGCCAAAACTCGTTAGCTGAGCTCGAGTCCCCTGATGCTGGTAATCTGAAAGATACGTTATTGCTGAGCCTTATTGGGTTGAAAAGGAGTAGCTCAGACCTGGTTTTTTTGTTTTGTTTTGTTTTGTTTTTCTTTTGCTCAATAACTCTACTCATTTGTATCTTTTCAGCACTTAATTTTAATGTAAGAAAGCTGTTCATTTTGTTTTTATAAAATATGTGGGGACAATGCTTTAAGTTTTTATACTTTCTGAAACTGTTTTTGTGTTCTCCAAGTACGATGAGCCTTACTGTATTTAGTGTGGCAGAAAAATAACATCAGTGGCAGGCCATTGATAGCTTTGTGACTGCCACGCATTTACAGATTGGTGTCGAAGACATTCACTATGTTTTTACGGTTCATGTTCTCTTCTCCCAGGGTGACAGCCCCTGAAGGGCCTCCTTCTCTCTAGACCCCAGGTTCATGCACAGGTTAAGCATGGTCTCCTTCCATTGTCCTTAAACTAATCTGGGTGGCAGTGGGAGTGAGAGGCGAATGATCAGGATGAAAAGGATGTTATAAGAAAAATTGCACTTTCCTCAAGTAATACTCGAACAGTAGAAAGTAAGATCCCCAGGTCTAAATTGCCCAGTTGGCATTCTGACATTCTAAAAGTTGGCAAAGCAGCTTTTAGTGAATAAATGGAAACGGGAACATGTGTGTTCCTCCAGATTTTCTCTTATGATCAGTGAGCTGTTTTGTAAAGAAGCCTCATATTACAGGATTGGTTTTGCACCTAAATTTAGAAATGGATCCTACAAACTGTTCCTTCTCTTTGCTTTCCTCCACTCTGTTCCTCTTTTAACCACACATCTGTTGCTTGCATTTAGTTTGTCTTCTTCCTTCAACTGTATATCCCAGACTGTTAATACAGAAAAGAGACATTTCAGCTGTGATTATGACCATTGTTTCATATTCCAATTTGAAAAAGAACAGCAGCCTCGCTACTTAAGGCCGGGATCTCCATAGTTCCAAAGACAATTAAGCAGATTAGAGTGACTTCACACTTTTCAGGTGCCACGGTAAGGTTCTCTTAGCCTGGGAAAGGATCAACTCTTTCTTTACAAAGAAAGAGGGTTGAAAATCCTCTGGATGAACAGAAGTCACTGTGGCTGTTCAGTAAAGCCAATTTTAACAACACATTTAAATGAGGAAAAGTTCAACCTTAAGTTAAATGGTTTGACTTATTTTTTGCATCATTAGAAGAAACAACAGAAATCGCATTCCTCTATTTTATTTGACTTTGTTTTGGATTGCACTGGTTGTTTTTGTGGGAATGACACTTTATCTGGAAAAGTAACTGAGAGTTAGGTAAAAGAATATTTTCTTCTCTGAATAATTATTTTCACAGTGAAAATTTCAGTATTTTATCACTAATGTATGAGCAGTGATATATATCAATTTCAAGGCACGTGGAAAAATTTTTTAGTATGTGCAATTTAATATAGAAAGATTTCTGCCTGTTTGGACAATAGGTTTTGGATAGTATAAATTAAGATAAATAATCTTTTATATGCACAGATATTATTGTATTGCCTGTAAATTGATTTAAAAGTACTTAAAGCATGGTCCCCAGTGAGGCCAAGAAAGTTTCCGGTTAAGTTCTTTTAGTATTAGTCCTACAGTTTCTCATACTTTAAAAAAAAAGTAGTTTTGAGCAAAAATACTTTACTTATCTTGAGGCTTTGTCAGTTGATGGTGAAAAAAAAATGCTCAGGAAATATTTCAGATATTTGCCAAAAAACAGTAATAAGACTAGCTTATTAATAAGAAAATTATATTGATATTTGCTTTATTTAAGGGTGTCACTGATAAATTAATTTGTTCCTCTGTATTTAGAAATTATAGCCTTTTTTTTCCCTAGTCAAATTCTTAGGCTTATTGTACACATTTTGTAATCTGTGGAAGTGCAATAATATGTAAGTAAGTTGCATTTTAAAGGATGCTCGATGATACCCCCCTCCAATTAGTGGCTTATAGAATTTAAAGATTTGTGTATTAAGATTTTGGCTTACAGACACAAGAAGTATAAGACTTGGTTTGGTGACTTTGTAAAACCATGAGCCTCTTTATGATGGTTAGCTTCTTTAGGTCATTAAATAAAAACATGTAAAAGCTATTTTCCCCTTATAATGCTCCTTTCCCATTTCTACTTTGATTTTCCCACTTAGATTTAAATATACATACCTAAGCCTGCCATTTTTAATTTCCTTTTAAAATGATACATGTGAAAAGTTATTAAAGGTCTAATACCGCTTGTTTCCCTCATCACAGAAAACTGGCTCTTAGGGTACCAGCAATGCATTTGTGACTATCTTTATTCACAAATGCAACCGGAAACTTTTAAGCCAAATTAGTATAATGTGCAGTGCTATGAGACTTTTATTTTGTCCTAATACAGTGAAATTTCCCTTATTCACAAGAGCCTCTATGTTTCAGCGTTAAGTGATAGAACTGCTTTTTAAAAAGTCCAGCTCGATTATAATGTCAACAAAGAAATGTTGTACCTTCATGATTTTCAAACATAAACAAAGGAAGGGCTCTAAGAGGGGTTGGCTTGGAAACAGTCCTCGGTCTCACAGGTGACCATTGTCTAGGGATGTCTGCGCTGTTTTCAGAGTTAGGATAGCACAGTGTTGTCTTGTCTTTGGTTGCAGTCTCATCTGGCTCCGTTTCTTGCACCACCAGAGTGTTCATTGCCACTTAAGTGTATTGCTACAACCGTGGAACAACAGAGTGATGCAAGACAGTGTAGATTAACAGTAGAGGAGAACTCGTGCCCTTAGTGTTAACAATGTGCCTTTTGTTCTGAATGCCATGTTGTAGGGCATGCATTTTTTGGCCTCTTTAACTCTTTGAATACTAGGCAGTAAGGATGGACCCCACCTCTGCAAAGATACATCTGTCTTAAATATCTAGTTACAGGCCTTAATAGAAACCATAAGGCGTGAAAAATCATCAGGCACTGAAACAGATAACTATCAGTCAGTTACACAGGGAATTCCTATGTTTAAGGGGTTAAAGAGGGCCTTTGTTGTATCTTAACATCAGACTGATTTTTTAAATGATATTTTTTTGTTATGCTAACACTAGACAAAAATCAACTGTATTTGTAAAAATTTACCTCAAACCATTTAATTTTATAGTGTGATTAATCCCAGGGCATTTGGTATGAACCAAAGTGCATTCCTTTTATATGTGCCTGGCTCTAGTAAGGATGGCCAGGGATTTTTACAATTTGGGTGCAAGGCACTTAAGCCACTTTTAAACTTAATGGGTGGTTTGGAGGCATGTTAAATGACTCCATCAGAATGTTAGAAAACACTTTAGGCATCAGTAGCATTGGGCCATATTGGAATCTTGAAATAAAAGTGTGAATTATTTTAAAGAGAGCATTCATTTTTGTAATTTTTTTCATCAAGAATATTTCTGGTAAGCTGAAGACTTTTTAAAAAAAAAACAAAAACAAATGATTGGGTTGGTAAAGGTTTTAATATTGCCCAACATAATGCTGTGGTAGCATTTAAAAATAAAGTATTTGTGAATTCTTTGTTTCTTAGGGGCTTGTACATCTCTCTGCTATGGACATATATAAAATTAATTGTAATTATACTCAGCTCAACTGCTACAGTTATGTCTAGGCAGTGGCTTGGGTTTTTATCGAGCAACAACTTAGACATGTGACTGTAATATGCTGCAACTGTGTGTACTGAAAATATGTGAAAACGGTTGAATGTGGACTGTGTATATATGTATGTACAAATTTCTGTGAGATGCTGCTGTCGCCACTTAACATGAAATATGTTCTAGTGGATTTTAATCCTAGTGGCCAGTTCTATGATACTGTATGTATTGTACAGCTGATGACAGGAGTAAGACTGTTTAGTAAATATTTGTTAAATTTTATTGTTGTGGCCAGAGATAATTTCAGAATAAAATTTTAATGTCCTACCTTACTTTTCTCCCCTTTTCTAACTATAATTGAACTCCTGATCTATTTCTGGTATTATTCTTGGTCCATTAGCTTGGACAGGATTTAGGATGTTAAACAGATAGTTCTATTATTAGTGTCTTGAGAAACTGAAATAATTCTGGTTTTGTTTGTTCATCAGTAAGAACTAGAACAAATGTAAATATACAAATTTCAAGGAAGAGAATCTGAAATTTCAGTAGGCAGCTCTTGCTTTCTTTAGGGTATTCTGTTTCTTGACCTTTAAATACTGTAGTTCATTTTTCTTCATATGGCTTCTGCCACGTTCTCTGCCATGTGAGAACTTCACATCTTTGTACTTTCACCTTCAAGGTGGCAGTTCAGCTGCGACAGCAGTGTCTGTTGATTATTCCCCACTAGTCTTCTTTCTTTTCCATGCACAAGTTGTGGTAAATCATGTACTCTCAACAACTCCACCCCACGCTTATTAATGCTTATGTTTTTGCAACTTTTGTACTTGGTGGTCTCTATGGTTCATGTGCTTTGGGGTGATGTTGTCTCCTCCTGTCCTGACTGGGTCAGAAAATAAGGCCAGTGAACTGCTACCAGCTCATGATTTGTCAAGCTCAGTTAATACCAAGCTAAGAGTTTACTTACAGTTGACAGCAAGCAGATGCTCTAGTAATTTGTCAGACCTTGCAAGGATATTATGTAGACAAATATTTCCCTCTTGTGGAAAGAACTACCTCACATTTTTATTTACATTCCTCCTGCCACCAACAACCAAGGAATTAGTATGAATTCTTGCTTCAATAGTGGGATTGGCTAGAATTGGAAAACTTTAAGGAGTTCCCAAGTCTGGCTTTTGTCTTACAGCCTAGACCATAGATTTCCATTATTGCTTATTTTGCTTCTCAAAGTTCAAATCAAGTGCAAAAACCAACCAACCAAGAAACCCAATATATTTAGAAAGAAACTTTTAAAAGATGATCATGTAAAAAGTTGAAAGTTGGCACTAAAGCATCAATTTAAATTAAAAATGTATTGTTTAGATCTGACTTAGAGATTATACAATAGTTCCCCATTCATTCTTTCCTTTTTATCAAAGCTTTCAAAGCTCATTAAGTTGATTAATAAATGCTATGTTCTCTTTGAATCTCCATAATCTTTTCTCTTAGAATCAACAACTGTATAAATAAATATTCTTGGGACTTCAAAGTGGCCTTCAATCTAGTACTAAAGAATGTCCCTAAGTTCCATTGATATTGGTCTTATAAAGAAGGGGAGATTGGTTTGATTGCTTTACATTTTGGAAAGAGCATTAAGAGGGATTTGAACAGAAGGCATTTGTGACTTTATTTTTTAAGTTTGAATTAGTTTGAGTTACACTGCATTTCCTTTGGGGCATTAGGCAAACCCTTGTCATTGGTGATACCTAACACTGGCATGAAAATGACTGCCAGTCTGTTGCACACACATAACAAAATTGCTTTTTACTGCAAAATCTTTGTTTATTTGGTTTGACTTTGACTGTTCTGCTCTGGTCACACTCAATACCTGTGGTGTATTTGACAGATAATATATTTCAATATATATAGTGGGTGGTGGACATGATTGCCGTTGGCATCTCAAGGAAATTTAATGAACAAACTAATGCATTCGTATTTTCTCCTCTGAAGAAAGCTGACATTTTAAGAGTATTAACTACTCATCTATAAGAAGGACTAGCAAGGGTGCATTGTAACTGCATCACGTGCTCTGGAGGTCATTGCTCTTTATAAAGTTTTCCTTTGCAGATCTGACGTTCTATGATTATCAGTTCATCCTTAGACATACCTTTGAGCTATAATTATCCTTAGGTGATATTTGAAGACACTGAAGTGACTCTCCAAGGTGACTCCACAAAGACAGTTTGGGGCTTACGTGGTCATCAGATCATTTTAGTCTTAGTAAAGAACAGTTCCTAACCTTACATTGCACACAAACATTTAGGAAGGGGGAATGTTTGAGGTAGCAATGAACATTTATATTGTTCAAATAAATTATGTATCGATTTCTGGGAATTTTTTTTTAATGGGAGAAACTACAAAAAAAAAAAAAAAACAACCCAAAACAAAAAACGGACACTAGAGCGTGAGCATGGTCATCTCTTTAGGTGCACTTAATAACGTCAGGTGTATGTGCACATGCCCCTCAGCTAATTTGTGAAAAGGGTACTTTTCATATTGCCATTTATGGAAAGGTTAATTATAATAGCCTTATTCTTTATTTTCTATGTTCTTAGAAGATGTTTTTACCATTTGAATGTATGAAAATATTTTTGACACTTTACTAATTCTCAGGGATTAAAAGTTAAATTTTACTGACTGTAGTAGCAGGCAAACCTCTTAAATTCAAATTTACTCAGGTTTTCTATCCTTTGCCTCTATAGTTAAGAAAATATAGAATGCCTGCCAGGGAAATATATAAAAATTTCAAATACAATTTAAAAATACCAAATTGTAAATAAACCAACTTTACAAACTAAAATATTGTGTCTTTCCTTGCTTTTTATCCCAAATTGTTTCCCCTCCCAAGTTTGAGGAGTTTTAAATACCAAGAATAATTTCTTCATTTGTAAAAATGAAGTGTGTTATTTTCAAAACAAAAGCCTATGAATAGTCCCAGATCACTTAAGTAAAAGCTTATTGAATTGTTTTTAGTTGTTTTGGGGGAAATGTGATTAATTGGAAGCAATTTGTGTAGACCTGCAGTAAGTGTATGGGTAAATTTGGGTTAATTTGTCATCCTTTTATCTGAAGAGGAATGCCCTATTTAATTTCCCCTTTCCCTAGAATTCAATTAAATTGGAATTTTGGCATTGGTAGACTTAAATTAAAGAAAAAGTCCAAGTAATAGAATCTTATTAACATCTATTGCAGATGGCATTCATTTGTCAACTATTTAATAAATGCCTACCACATGCCAGATTTCTATTGTAGGCGCTGGGGAGGTATAATCATGAGCAAAATAGACAGTTCCTGGTTTTAGGGAACTTTTAGTCTGGCTGGGAAGGCGGGCATTATATACATAATTATAGAAACAAATACACAATTGCAAATGTAATAAGTGATCTGAAGGAGAAGCACATGGTGCTGAGCATATATGATGGCAAGGAGTTGTTATTAAGTATGAAGCAAGCGTGGCTCCCTAGGTAGTAAGGAGCTTCTGAGCTGAGAAAGGAAGAGGAGGGTCCAACACCCTGGGGCTAGAGGACAGAAGATGAGCAGCTGAAGAAAGGGTCCTGTGGCTGGAGCCCAGAGGATGAGAAAACTTAGGAAATGGAGCTGGTGAGGCAGGTGGGCACCAGACATTGCAAGTCCTGTGTTGCTGTTAGACTGCAATCTATCCAGTGTGCAGGGAAGCAACCAAGGGGTGTTAAGGAGAAAACTGCCATGAACATCAGCTCTCCCCGGCTGTCTAAATTTAGGAGAAAGTACTGAGAAGGTTAAGAGCAGAGGAAGGAAGACCAATTGGAAGTGTTTGCAAAAGACAGCAAATAGGACAATAGGCTGGGATGGACATGTAAAGAAGATGGATTTCAGGGCTCTTTAGGATATAGAAATACTAAGGTAGCAATAACGACGGTATTTCTTAGTCTATGAAAAGTAGTTGTTGCTATCGTAGTGTCTGATTTGCTACATTGCATTGAAAGGAATTACAGTATCTGATTTGTTCAAGAAAAGAGTCTTGAACAAATGAATTAAAGACTTTGGTTATAGAATATGAAATACAAATATGCTATTAATCTTTGGGTGAAACTTTGAAATGTTTCGGTTAAAACTCATTTTACTAATTCAAAGTTTTTCTGGGAATTTTAAATTGAAAAGAGATTGTAGAAAAGTTGGGGAGGGAATTATAGAGGTAAACTAAGCCAGAATTTCCCCAAAGATGGCAATCCCCTTTGTAAGATTGCCTCCCTCATCCCCTCCCTCTTCTTTTTATAGAAATTTTATAGAGATCTATTCTATAGGGATAGTATACTTGAATTTGTATACTTGGGGATACTAAAAGAAAGTAAGGAAGGAAGGAAAAAGAAGGAAAAAGAGATGGGTCCTTGCCTTGAGTTGGTTGAATTGGGAAGACAAGCTCAGACAAAACAGTAAACAACTTGAGAACAATAAAAGCCAAAGTAGGGGTCATTCTTGCTGCTGCTTGATTGTTACCCAATAGCCAAGGAGGTGGGTCTCTACCCACATCTCAGGGGAGTTCAGACTGGTAGAGAGAAAAAGGACAGAGCTTGGCTCTAAGTGAGTCAGGTCATGTGTCATTCATTCATTCATCTGGTCATCCACTGTTTACTGAGAATGTACGTATTTAATTTTTGACGTACTGTAAGGGGTGGGCAAAAAGACTGGGGATGTTGAAGATGGGGAAGTGGAGAATCATTCTTTTGGAAAGGCAAAACCTAGTGCCTGTGGTTTCCTCAAATGTACCGTGTTATCATCATAGCACGTGTGGTCTCTGACTAGATGTACTTCCCAATCTCCCTCATCCTGCAGGACTCAGTTCAGATCCAACATCATAAAGCTCTCCTTAACGTGAGTTGGGCAAGGTGGCCTTTATCAAAAACTCATACTGGCAGTCTTTTTCTCCACATTGGGAGAATATTCTGCTTACTACAAGGGAGTGAAGCTGAGTTGAGCAAGGCAGTGGAATCCTCTCCCAGCCTAGCCAGCCTGAAATATGCCAGACACATGCACAAGAGCCCAGGATCCAATGGGCTGAATGAAGCATTTGGAGGAAGGGGATTTCAGAGTGAGCAGACCTTGGGAAGTGTTCTCTCTCTAATGCATACATGAGCTTTATCATGAATAAGGAAAAGCCATACTGAACCAAACCAACAATGAAATATGACCATATCAAAATTACAAACAAGCCTAAAGTTACTGTTGTTTTAATTTGCTAAAGGGCATGTACACTCAACAGACACACACACACACACACACACACACACACACAGAGAGAGAGAGGAGAGTGA